CACAGCCTCACAGGCAGTGGCAGGCTGAGGGTGGACATCTGGTGCTTGGTTCCTGTCGCCACTGTGACCCCGGCACTTGGGATTCAGCCTCTTTTAGCACGTTTCATCCTGATTTGTTTTTCTGTGCATGTGATATTTAAATGTCTGTGGTCCTCCTTGTGGCCTGAAGTCTAGGACACTGTGTCCTGTTAAGGCCCCTGTTTATCCCGTAACTGACTTTTTTAAAAGGGCCGCAGATGAATGTCATGCGCGAAACTTGGGTTGAGTAGTAATTCAGTAATGTCAGTGTGAGGAAAATTGAGCACATGGTACAACTGAGTTGATGTGTGTGTGTGTGTGTTTCAGGAGCGTATTCCCACTGTAAGTTCTGTCAGGCACCTTTGTCACCAGTGCCCAGGATGGATGCCAAGTGGCCTGAGCCTCTGAGGCCGGGTACTGTGTTACATCCCCTCCTAAGCTTGTGGTGGAGCACTGCTGTTGTCCCTCTTGAATAGAAGAGGACATTGAGGCTTGAGGATACTGAAAATCAGGAACATGGACCTGAATCCGGTTTCCTTAACCCTAAGGGCCATGGGGCCCAGTGTGCTGTTGAAGCCAGGCTATTAGGGGTTGTGGTTCTGCTCTGTACTCTCTGTTCAGGAGGGGCAGGCCGTTTCCCTGTGCACCTCTGTCTCTTTATAGAGAAGAGAGTGCCTGCCACATTGTGTTTCTACATGGGCTGGGTTTGTAGGTGTGGAGCACTGTGTGGGCTTGGCGCGTGGTAGTGCTGCCTAGCTTTTCTAGTAGTGCATCATGGGAGTGATCACGGAGCACCAGGCTCCTGTTGTGCACAGGCTGTTCACAGACTTCTACTTCAGCAGGGATACTAGAGAACAGTCGTAGCCAGCTGGGGTGGCTTTGCCCCCTCAGGTGACATTTGCTAATGTCTGAAGACATTTTGATGGTCTCAGGGAGAGTGTGCTATTTGCTTAGTAGGGACTAGAGATGCCGCTAAACCTCCTGGAGGGCACAGGACAGCCCCAGGAGATACTTGGCCTGAGATGTCACTAATGCTGAGGTTGAGATCCTGCCTCAGAAGTCTCTGGTCCAGGGCCGGAAAGATAGCTTAGTAGAGTAAGTG